AAAAAAAACGGATTTCACAAAAAAATCTGAATTGAGCATTAAGTCCTGCAGTCTGAAATCAAGCTGAAACTGTGTTTTTTGTTGTCTTCCTGTGCAGGTTTACAAGAGGGCTAAGGCACTGGACCAGTCAGACAACGATATCTCTGCAGTCTACAGAGCCTACATTCACTAGAGCGAGGTGTGACTTATCTTCTGGACCACACAGTCTTTAATCCTTTCTTATTTCTCCCTCGTCATCTAATGAGTTGTTTTGTTTTTTTTGTTGTCGTTTTAAAGTGTAGTTCTTTTTATTTCATTTTCGCCCGAGTGCCAGCCACTTTCCCTGCCCACGAGTTAAGTTAATTCCTTTTTTTTTTCTTCTTCTTCTTCTTCTTCTTTTTTTTAGAGGCAACCTTGAGCATTGCACTGACTGTACCGGGGGAATACGCTGTAAGAATGCTCAGAACGAGGTTGTACTGCTGCAGTTTGCTGTGTGTTGGGGGGGAGGGCAGTTTTTTTTTTTTTTTTGGTTTCTGACAACTAAAAAAAAAAAAAAAAACCTTTGAAGTAACGGAAGGGTTCCTGGTGAGGATGTGAGGTCCAGCTCCACTGTAAAGCCAGAGAACTTGCTGTCAGGTTTTATGGATGCAGAAACCGTAAAGAAGTTTGTTTTTCTTTCTCATGTGTTTATTTAATTAAGTGTGATCTTTGCTTTTCTTTTTAATTAATTTCTTTTATTGTCCAGAAATCCATGGGAGGAAACACCAAGAACATGCCACTGCATTGCCTTAATATTGTAACCCCTCAAATCTTTCAATAATAGATGTATTTATTTATGTTTCTTTCTAGGTCTTCTTGGTGCAGTCTGGTCATGGCTTCTCTCTGTGTTTGACGAGATGATTTATGCTTTAACATTGGTGTTAATGACGACAGATGTGTTAAGGCCTTAAAATGCCATAATAGTTGATGTTTCTCATCAAGACTTGAGATTTCCACGTTTCAAACCCTTCATTCATATGTTTGGAAGAGTTCTCATTTCTTTTTCTTTTTTAATAAGTCTGAAATTACACGAATCCGCTTTTTTTTAAGTTGTATTTTAACGAAAGTCAATATTTCAGCCTTGAGTCAGCCATGTTTTTATTTTATTTTATTTTATTTTATGGAAGTTATTAAAAAAGAATATATTGTGGCTGGGCTCTGAAGGTCAATTTTAGACTATTTTGGGACCCAAGTATTAAAAACCAAACGAATGAAAGCTTCAGACGGGGTTTAAAGACACGTAAAGCTGTAGAAATGAACAGAACGAACTCGACTCTCCTTTTAGAAACACCACTGAGAAACTGTTACATCAGTCTAACACACACACACACACACACACACACACACACAGCTCACCTTAGCTCAACTGTTTGTTACATATTCACCCAGTCTGGGTCCCAAACCAAACACAGAGTCTGTCTTATTATTTATTTCTTGCTTTCGGTTGGATTTTCAGGCAAAATAATAATAATAAATAAAAAAGCGTAGGAGCCATCTGGACTACATAGTAGAGGTCCTCACAAGTCACAAGCTCAGTTTTTGGAAAACAAAACTTGACAGAAGCCGGGCTCCTGACCAGCAGATTGGCCGAGCAGTGTTTCTGGCTGACGCAAGCTCACGACAGATCGATGAATAAATAAATATATATATATATATATTGGCCGGTAATTATGAAGAAATGTCAGAGAAATACCAAAAATATGCTCGAGGTCGTATAGAGAATGTCTCCATTAGTTCATTACTCCATAATTTGGATCATCATTATCATCAAAATATGCATGTTGTTAGAAAACTTTTATTGCAGTTTTTAAATGTCATGTTTGTGCCACATCTACGAGGCAGAAGCCATCTGATCGGTGTCCAAATTACTTTCAGTCTCATGAGGACGGGTCGGGTTGTGTTCTGGTCCTGCAGGTCAACATGTCTGACAGAAAATTACTATTTAACTTTTAATTATTATTTTTTAAAACACAGATGTAAAGCTCAGGAAAAGTGGCACATAGTTTGCTGATGTCTATTATTTCTGAAACCACCACATGCTGAATAATCTCAACAAATTTTCCCCACAGTCTGTACCAGTCGGGTATCGTTACTCTTTTTAAAAAGAATGGTGAGATTTTCCATGAACTACCCTTGAATACCTCTACCATGTAGTCTAGCACAGCCCCTACATAAGTGTCCAACAAAAGAACCACAAGTGTAATGTCCTGGAGAGGGTATAGCTCCTCAAACAAGACCAGACTGAAGCACCAGTTAAACAATGCCTTAACTTTCCCTTAAGGTGTTTGTAGATTGTAAGAAGGGTGTCGCTCTGGCTCTCATCTGCACCCTGTAGTGTCACCAATGGGCCTATTGACACATCAGTAGTCAACCCCGCTGTCATCCTCTTGTACGGGACACCAGTGACTTTAAACACAAGGAAGCTGTAGCAACAAGCCCCGCTGTTCTTCCACCGAAACGCCAAATTGCAAATCTTTCCTTGGAGGAGGGAGAAAAAAAAAAAATCACAGCGATTTGTTCTTTTGCAGTTTTACCTGTTAAAACTATCAACAAAGAGGTTTCTCACAAAACAGAATAATCGTTCAGTTGTGTGTTAAGAATCCAGCGTTCCATTTTGAAAGATGGTCCGTTTGCCATGGTTAAGATTTTTTTTTTAAATTTAGGTTTCCCAAACGCTCAAGTGTAAAGACCTGTTTTTAGAAGACGTGTAAATAGCACATTAGGCTGAGTAGGGTTCCTTTTGTATCTACAATAACCAGGATTAATGAAAACAACTAGGTTTGGTTTTGATTCTACAGAGTGACTGTCTAACATCTGTGTCTTATTACTGTAGATTGTTCAGTTCAAGTGTAAATGGTTTATAAATATGTGGCTTATATAATCTGGCTTATTATTGCATTGAAATGACAATGACTTGGATCCCATTCTTTGAAGGAGGGTGGAACTTTGGTTTGGGGGATATTTATGATTTTGTGTACATGTGAAAATACCAAGACTTTTGTGCTGTTTAATAAATCCTCTCCTGATTACTGACATTACGGCAGTGACTGATCCAGCTCTGGCTTGTTCAATTCAATTCAGTTTTATTTGTATAGCGCATATTTACAACAGCAAGTCATCTCATAGCGCTTCACAAAGGCAGAAACACCCAACAATCCAAAACAGTTGGATTCCCTATAAGCTTCAGCAGTCTGCAACAGTGGAAAGGAACCGAAAACCCTGCGAGGGGAAAAAAAACCTCCGACAGAACCAGGCTCAGGGAGGGACGGCCATCTGCTTCGACCGGTTGGGTGGATGTAGGATGATATTTGTTTTTGCACCGTTGATATGATTTGTTCTCTAAACTGACTGAGCTCATCTAGTATTTGCCACTCATTGTCACTCAGGACCAGCTGTATTAGTCAGTCTTAGTTCATTTTAATTTCCCAGCTCCAAGTCTACTAGTTCCTTTGAAGACAGTTATTTAAAAACACTACATTAAAATGTATTTTTATTTTAAATGAATTCCACCCTGGAGCGGAGGTGTTGGTAGAGTGTAGTCTTTGCTGTGTTGGCCACAAAAAATAAATAAAAATGGATGTCACATTTAGGTTTCACTTCACTCCATAATGTCCTCACATTAACAAAGTAATGTAACTTGATTACTTTTCGATTATCTCAATACCAAATATTAAAGACAGGAGAATTATCAGCAAGATAATGTACTCTGACATCTTGGTATGTATACCAGTGACACAATGGCACCAAGGAACTGATTAGAAATGTCCGACTAAGCTCAGCTGGCTTGATCATGTCTACATCTGTCCTTGTGTTTTTTCCATCAGTACTATAAACAAGATGTTCACCGTCCATCAACTCGTCCTCTACCTGGACATTAAAGTCAGTTTTACCCTTTAACCCTATAAACATGGTTCGTGCATTATAGTCTCCACACCACACAGTACTTCCTATGTTTACTCCTCCTGCTTCTTCAAGGCTGCAGGGTTCTAGTTTTCTGCAATATAGAAATATATAACTACCATGTTTCACTTCTCTTGGTAACATACTGCAGCTTAGCTCCAACATCAGTCCTCCCCGTCCTTCCTAACGTCCACATACATATTTATCGTGAACTTGGTTTTAAACACGATTCCTGGACAGGTCTGTTCAGCTGTAGATGAACTATTTGAAATCTTGACCATTCCTCATCTTACACTTGTTATATCCAGATAATGAACAGGAGCTTTGACTATCGTCTTGAATATTTCTGTTTTAGATGTGATCTGCATCCTGTGGTGTTTGACTTGTAGGTGGTTGATTTCACACCAGTCCTCAAACCCGTCCACCACACCTCCCGTTCTCCTCTGATGCAGCCCTCCGTGGCAGAGTCGTCCGAAAACTTACGCAGATGGCAGGACTGTGTCAGAAATCAGAGGTGTAGAGTGAACAGGAAGGGAAACAGGTCTGTCCCCTGAGCTGTACTGGTGCTGCTCACTGTCTGATATGTTGCTCTGAAGCCTCACTAAGTGGCTGACCTGTGAGCTAGTTGGTGATCCAATCCACTAGTGCTGGTGCAGGTGGATGACTTGCATGTCCACAAGCTTCTTCCTGAGCAAAGCAGGTTGCATGGTCTTGACATGACTCCCACAGGCATATTTCAGGTGAGTATAAACCCTTTGAGCAGAAAGATGAGGGCCTCTTCTGCTCCAGTGTGAGGCTGGTGCACAAACTGCAGGGGGTCTAGTAAAAGATCAACCAAAGAGCAATAAGGTTTCTGCTCTCCAACCTTGACTGTGTCTAGCTGCATGTTTACATCACGGCTCCACGTGGAAAAGAATCGTTGGAGGAACAGAAAAGTGATTGTAAGATGAAAAGGACACAGAAGATGAGTGAACAGCTAAAAGTCAGTGGAAACACATTTGCAGCAGTTATCAGTTGGTATAAAGCTAGCTGTGGTACCACTAATCAGAGCCAAGATGGCCACCAATGAATGACGCCACAGGCAGCGCACTACTTTCCCAATTTTTGTAAAACAGACAAACCAGTTCCTCAGATTTGGAAGAGGGTTATTGATGGAAAACAGAGTTTCTGTGCCAGCTCAGGCAGTGAGAATAACATTGCATAACATCTATGGATGATATCCAAGAAAAAAAAAACTTGCTCTCTGGCACAAAACTGCAAAATTAAACTAGTTTAGATGGTTGCAAGGTTGGCGGTTCAATCCCCCGCCCTGTCCACATCTTGAAGACCCTGAACTTGAAGTTGCCCCGATAGCAGGCAGGCTCTGTGGCCATTGTTGTGTTAATGGGTGAATGAGAACTGTAAGGCGCTACCACTATATAAGTGCAGACCATTTAGCCAGGGCCCTGCATGTTTGGCATGAACCTGGCTCGAGCTACAGCAGCGAATACATAGTCCGAACAGTGATAATGATTCAGAGCACGTTGCCAAAATCAGTTTCTAAAGAATGTTTGTCATGTGTGCTAAGAATGTCACCTGACTTGAATCCAATGTAACACCTCTGAGGTATTTTAAAGAGAATTAGACCGACACAATCCCTCAAGTGAACAGCAGCTGGAAAAAAAAAAAAAAACTGACTGAACCGGTCTCGAGAAATTTGATATCCTGCATGCTGTGGAGGATTAAGTCAGAATAAGTGTGTACTGACTGTATGTTTGGGATGAACCTTGCCAGGAGGTGTGAGCAAGATAATTTGGGGCTGCATGAGTGCAAAAGGTGACGAGGAGATGGCATTTATAGACGTCACCATGAATTTGTGTGAATATACCAAAATCTGGCTGAAAAGATGACTCCCAGTCGACAGAGGTTTGCCAGAAGAGGAACCTTCCAGCATGATAACAATCCAAAGAACCCTGAGAAAATTACGCAAAAGTTTCTAAAGAAAAAAAGGGAAAACTACGACCAGGACAAGTATGTTGTCTGACTTGAATCCAACGTCCAAAAGGCATTAAAACATTAAGGCATTCTCCTGGATTCAAGTCAGGCAAGATACTTGTCATGAAAGATGCACTGATTTCTGTTGCACCTAATTTTCCATTATGGCGCCTGTATTTCTCACGAATCTATCCAGTTCGTTTTAAATCTTATACAAGAGAAAACTACTGTTCAACAGAGAAGTATGCTGTTACTGTAAGGTGGTGCAATTTTAAATCATTTGACATTTACGTGACTTTATACAGAAACTGCTGTGACTTGTTGCGTTGATTTCTTGTTGTGAGGCCTGTGCGTTATCAGAGGGCGGAAGTCGAATTCCCAAATAAGGATTAGTGGGCGGGTCCACCTAATAGAGAACGTGTGACCGACCTCATGCTGCATTCAGGGCTGCTTGTACATATTAAAGCCTCTCTGTCATAGCGGTGTGTTTGGATTTAATAACAAAACACACCTCTCAGCTTATGCACAGTTGATTTGTAGATGTTTTCCTAAAGTCGAAGGGTTGCTATGCGGCCAGAATCAACCATATTTACACAATAATAGTCCACATGAAGCATAATGAAAGCATGAAAATGAGCGTACATGAGATAAAACCGAAAATATAAGATTGTTCTGCTTCTATGGCCACACGTCTTTAAATCTAAGATGCCAGCAGGGTCTCTCCGTCCCCTTTTTCGTTTGCATTCGAGCTGAGTTTCGACGTTTATTTGTGCATGCTCATGATTTCCGACGTCAGTGAAGGCAACGCATCCGTCGCTAAGCTAGCAGGTAGAGAGACACCCACCCTGGTCCCGAGGAGAGGACGGCGTTTTAAAGTGTTAACGGAGGGATTGTTTGTGTTGATTTCCCAAAATGCTGAACCCGCAGAGATCTCTGTCGGAGCTGCCCAAGATGTCAGCTGCCAGCCAAGTGGAGAGAGCAGTGCTGGTAAGCCGCTCAGCCTCTATTTACTGCCCGTACTGCTGCTGCTAGGCAGGGAGACGCGGCTAGCTGCTTTACTGACTGGCCTTTTTTTTTTTTTCTTCGTTTAAACATTTGTAGCTAAGCTGTTAAAATAATGGAGCTGGGACAAACTAGCATGCTAGCATAGGAGGCTCGGGAGCATCCTCGCGCTACGGCGCAGGTGCAGTAGCCGGGGCTCGCGCTCTGCTGTCATGTTGACAGCAGAGCGGCCCGTGGAAACAGCGCGTGCGGTGAGCTGTGGATCCACGGTGTGAGCCACTGATCCACGCCGGTGCACTGTCCGTTATGTCAGGCGTCACGATCCGTGCTACACAAAGGTAACACACAGAATGCGTCAGTGGGGAGGTCACGTCTGTGCAACATCACTTTAACGTTTGTTTGGGTTGTTGTCATGCTGGAATGTTCCTCCTCTGGAAGGTGTCTGTAGACTGCAAGCCTTGTTTGCATCCAGTGTTTTGCTATGTTTACACAAATTCATGGTGCATCTGCAAATGCCATCTCCTGAACACCTTTTGCACTCCCCATGTTGTCACCCTCCCACCGCTGTGCTTCACTGTGAGGACTGTGCATCCACTGTCCTGGTCAGCTGCACAGCAAACATGCCAAACAAGTTTATGGTCTCATCTGACCCAAAAAAATGTGCTTCTAACATTCATCAGGCTGGGGATTTATGCTGTGACCTGTCACAGAAACTCTTGATTTCCGCTGATAACTCGTCTGCCAAGTCTGAAGCACAAAGCACGATTTGTCACAGCTTGGTTGTGCAAGTTGTGCGTTGTCTCTGTCATTTCTGGAGTGAGTGTGATTCATGTTCTCTACCTCCTGATTCCTGTTATTGTTGTTTCCACAGATTTTTGCTTGTTTGTGAATCTTTCTGTATTCCATCCCTGTGAAGTCTTACAATCATCCATCCATCCATTATCTATATCTTAATCCTCACTAGGGTCATGGGGGGCTAGAGTTTATCCCGGCTGACTTCGAGTGAAGGCAGGAGACACCCTGGACAGGTCACCAGTCTATCACAGGGCTACACTTAGAGACAGACAACCAAGCTCACTCACATTCACACCTACGGACAATTTAGATTCACCAATTAACCTCAACATGTTTTTGGAGAGAGTGGGGAGAACAAGATCCCGGGTGTCCTCACCGGGACGCGAACCAGCAACCTTCTTGCTGCGAGGCAATGGTGCTAACCACCAAGCCACCTTGCAGCCTGTCTTACAATCAGATTCCAATTTAATTTTCATTCATCTTTTTTTTTGTTAATGTGGAACCGTGATGCAGACACGCAGATACACACCTGAGGAAGTCTGGCTGTTCACAGGTCAGTTTATAACCCTGCTCATGCTTCCGATTGAGGAAGTGCCCGACTGCTCAGCTTAGATATGATGCAATCATTGAGATAAGACGAAGTTTATTGATCCCTCGTGTGGGAAATTAACAAAGAAGTGGTGATACGATGCAGAATAATTGCCATTTAAGTGATGTTGCACCGGGGTGCTCTCTCCACTGTTGTATCCTGTGGTTTGTATTATTGAAACTCATTTCCCTCTGCACTGCCTGTCCAGTCATAAGCTTTGCATTTTTCATTTTATTTATTTAACCATCTCTATTTGCAGTATTTACACTTGAGTATGTGCAACATTTGATTGGAAACATTATGCATAGAACTATAAACTGATAATCAAAATAGCTTCCAGTTTGTTTTTTCTTTCAGTTGAATAATTGATAAATTGCTGCAGCTCTAATTCCAGCACTCTTGTCGGAAGTCCAAATACCAAATATCATGTTTCAACTTTTCCCTCGCTGAATGGATTTGATGTTTTCCGAGTGTTCGATATAAATTACCGGTTTACGACAATATAAAATACATTTGTACTAGATATGCACGATATATCGGTGATCACATCGGTATCGGCTGATATTAGTGGTTTTCTGATATATCGATATCGGGCCGATGAACAAACTTGTGAAAAACCAGTGATTGTCTAACGTTAGCACCTTCGTCTCTATATTTGATATTGCTGCTATTTCACAGATGTTTTTTTTACTTAGATGATCCTGGATTTGAACATTAAATATGTTTAAATATGTTTTACTTTTGTTACGTAATAAAGGAGAAGATGTGGTCTCATTTGATACGGGCTTCTTTTGAATAGTTTTCTTACAGTGCTTATTTATTCCCATTTTTTGGTGTGAACAAAAATTAAATATCGACGTCAGTAATATCGGTTATTGGCAATATCAGAAATCTTAATATCGGATATCAACCAGAAATCTTAATATCGTGCATCACTAATTTGTATAAATAAAGATGATATATTGCACCATGAAATACTCTTAATGCATATGTTCAATTTAGCTCAATATTAGTTTTATTAAGCGGTTTTTATTTCAAAAAGTTCCCCTCCAGTCTCTTTTAAATCAGTCGATTGATTAACTATCCTCTCATTCTCACAGAATCGACTAACTGTCAACATATCTGGATGTTTGTCTGGATTATTTGGAGAAGTGGCTTTAAACAATGAGAGAATCACTGGGAAGCGTCACATCAGACATTAGAAAAACTGCAGGAACTAAATGTGATTGACATGTAGTAAAATAAATATTTAAGGTTGTGTCTGCATTTATTTCTGTGGTTCTTCATGTTGTAGTGTTTTTTTTAAGTCAAACCACTCGCTGGGCTTCAGGTCAGGTTAACTGTAAACTGTGACTTCCTGCTCTTGCTTGAATTCGAAGCAAACTTGGAGAAACTTGCAGGTTTAGTGTCACTGGCCCCTTTTACAAATGTGTAACAAACTGGCTTCTGATTTACACGAGGTGCAAAGTACAGAGAACGATGCATCACATGGTTGAAATGGTTGGAAAGGTTTGAATTACAAGCTCTAAAAGACAATAAAAAATCTGTGTCACAGCTTTATAACAAACATGTGAAGGCAGAACATCTCGTAAATGTGCTCTGTCCTGGAAGACACTGTCCTTCAGCTGCTGTGTCCGTGAATCCAGGCTGTGGGAGGGCCTAATAGTATTTAGTTAATCCAGAATGAACAGCCCCCCCACGTGAGGATTAAGCGGGGTATAGATGATGGATGGATTTTTTTTACTACACGCTGAAAATCCATCCATCCAGCTTATTTCTGCGCCACTGTACTGCCTCACTCTGAAAATATCTTAAACAGTATGATTTTATATAAGAACAGAAATAATGTTTGACAAACCACCGATGCATCGGAGGGTTAAAGGTCGATGATTGGAAACATGCAACACAGCAAACCGTCTTGTCCACAATGATCTGTAGCGTTAGCAGCATCCTCCTCTGACACCTCCACCAGGACAAGCTCAGCACAAAGTGTCAGTGTTGTTTTGTATTTGTAAGGAATCAAATATTTGTTTAATTTGTTTGGTAGGAGGAGGAGTTCAACTGGCTGCTGAAAGAAGAAGTACATGCTGTGCTGAAGCAGCTCCAGGATGTCCTGAAGGTAAAAGTTGACCTTTTGTGAACTGTATATGAGGTTTGTCAGAAAAGTTCCAGGACTGGTGTCACAAAGGATATATTTCAAAACCAAACTACAATCCCCCTGGAGTGTATCATACTTCCCCAGCCTTCTCTTCACGCCGCCATGCACTCCTGGAAGGATTCTTCCAGGATCCTCTGCTGCTCCGTTGTCACAGCCATCTTGATGTCGTACATGTCTTCTAAACGGGTCCCCTTGATGATGAGCTTGGGGAAGCGGAAGCAATCCCATGGAGCCAGGTGGGGTGAGTAGGGAGGTTGTTCCAGCACGGCCATGTTCTTCTCAGCCAGGAACTGTGGGATGCTCGTTGTCATGGTGAAGCAGCCACGACTTGTCCTGCCACAACTCTTGCTTCTTCTGAACGAAGCAAACGCCGCAGGATCTCTTTGTAGACGTGCTGGTTGATCGACTGAAACTCGTAGTTTGGGTTTGAAATATATGTTTTGTGACACCAGTCCTGGAACTTTTCCTCATATAAATCCGTATGTAGGGCTTAATAAGGAGCTGTTTGTCAGATTTTGTTCAAGGATCTGTTCTGTTGTCCTGAGCCCCAGTCAGTCTGTCAGAACAGTCGCACATCGTCTTCTGTGGCTTCAGAGGAACTCATAATGTCATCTCAGCCTCTGATCACAACAGAAAGCCTTTATTAATAACTGGTTGCAGACAATTTGAGTCGATGTGGGTGTTTATCAGCAGGGAGGATCTGACAAAGAAAGTACCGAAGACACATCATGGGATGTGTTTGATTCAGTGTTTTTTGGAGCTTTAGCCACAAACGGAACTGTCGTAATATTTTTCCAGTTATATGACAGATATGTAAAATCATATTAAATAAACAACAAAGTCATCGACTCTCACTGTTTTCATCAAACAGAGCTCCTCTGATCACGCCTGTCAGGCACAGAGTTTGCTCTGAAACATGAAAACTGTTGGTTCACCTTTGGATAACAAAGATAATATAAAGTACTTTGTAGTAATGGAAAGTCATAAGTTAGCTTCATATGAAAATCCATAAGAAGAAAACGCAAAAATCTATTTTGGGGACAAAATTAAATGGAAACCTCTTGTTTAAAAAAGATTTTTTTGTAAATGTTGTTGCAAATCCCTGTTTGTCATTTTCCAATTTTCTCTTTAAAATGGGGAAACTGTTGAGATGAAGATACATGAATCCTGCATTTGTTCCTAACACTGAGAAACCTTTCGCTCTGCTCTTGTCGACAGGAGGCATCTCGGCGTTTCTCAATGCCAACACCAGGCCTGGAGAGTCAACTCAAACAGGAAAACTTCATCCTCGGCAGCTCAACGTAATGCTTTATTTTCCTTCCAGTTCATTTAAAAGTGCGACTCTTTGTGGTGTGCAGTTGCAGTGACTAGATCAGCCTCAGTGAATCAACTGTCTGTTTCATAACAGTGCCTTCCTGTGGGGAAGTGCCTGTCGTATGATAACCGGTAGCTGGTCTGAGTGCGTCGGTCATTTCCTGTTGTTTTTGTGGTGATATTAAAGTACTGATGTGATGTTTTGCAGCATGGATCAAGTGAAGGGGGTGCTGACTTTGCAGGGAGATGCTCTGACTCAGGCTGTAAGTTTGCAATGTTCTCATTCAGGCTTTGTCCCCTTCTGTTAAGAGAAAGCATTCATTTAAGCTTAATGTATGACTTTCGTTTCACTTTTCTCAACAGGACATAAACCTGAAGGTTGCAAAGAGCAGCCAAGTGCTGCACTTTCAGTTCAGAGAAGACAAGCAATGGAAACTGCAGCAGGTACTGTAGAGGGCAACGGTGCCAGAAAAATAGAGAACTGAAGCTGTGGCTGTGAGGACTGTCAGTTACTTTCACAACTTCTTTGGATGTGAATCATCCTCTTTTGGTGTTTTACTTCCTTACTTTTCTTCCATGTAGATCTTTAAAATGTTATTCATCTAAGTAACTCCAAAGGTCAGAAACTTCTTAGCCAGGACAGCAGCACTTACAGGGTTTAGACATCCATCCATCTTCTTCTGCTTAACCAGGGTCGGGTCAGAGGCAGCAGATCAGGCAGGTCATTTCAGATGTCCCTCTCCCCGGAAACCCTTCCAGTACTTCCTGGAGGATCCTGTGGCGTCCCCAGGCCCGATGAGATATATATAATCCGTCCAGCGAGTTCTGTTTCTACCCGTAGTCTCCTCCACAGTGGACATGATGAGAAAACGTCCAAAGGAAGTCTCAAAGGAGGCGTCCAGATCAGATGTCCAGATAGAATAGAAATACTTCATTGATCCCCAAAGGGAAATTCTGTTGTTGTAGTAGCAAGCAGACAGTAGTAAAGTGATCACAGACGCAATATAGATAAATAAGAAATAGGAACAATTTACTAAAGTACAAAATTCACAATAAAGTGTAAAATACACTATGATCAAAAAAGTACTAAAGTGAAAAATGCACCTTAAAGTGTCAAATGCTAAATCAAAAAATATACAGAGAATGAGGAAATCAAAGTCCTGTATGAATCAGCGCAATTAGTGCAGTGTCAGCAGAAAAACAGATAACTGCAAAATCACACCGATGCTACAAAGCAGAGGGTGCTAAGAGCTCTGTGCCAGCCAGAGGTGAGGAGCTAAACAGAGGAACTGCAGTGGAGCTGAACCAAACTGTTCAAGAAGCTGCTCCGCTGTCTACCCAGTAGTGTTTAAAGCAGGTGGTCAGGATCAACCAGACTGGACAACAGTTTGTTCAGTGTCCTCCTTTCCACCGCAGCTTCAAAGGTGTCCTGACGTTGCTCCTTCAGCAGACCACTGCGAAGTCCAGGGCGCTGGTCACAACAGACTGATCCTACTGCATTTGTCTCAGGTTCTCAGCGTCCTCAGAAAGTAGTCGGCTCATCCCCTTCTTGTACACAGCATCAGTGTTGGTCCTCCAGTTCTGTCGATGTAGACTTCAGGTACTTGTAGTCCTCCACCAGGATGTGCAGAGGCCGTGTAGATGTCCCTCTTCTTTATGAAGTCGATTGAACCACCTCAAGTGGCCGGTTTTTGACGCAAAAGAGCAGCGACTTTATTCCAAGCTCCTTCCTAATGTCGGAGCTTCTCGCTATGTCTCCAAGGCTAAACCCAACCACCTACAGAGGAAACTCATTTTGGCTCCTTGTACCCGCAACCTAGATCTTTGCAACTTTGTCAGAATGGGTGGTTTGAGTCCTCTAGTGACTCGGCTGTAGTCACATTTATATGTTGTTAGTGGCTGAGACCGTTAATATTAGTGGTCTGACAAACTTTCCCTCATTGTCTTTAAAGAAATCGTGCTTTGCTCATATCCTTTACCTTCCTGCTGTGTCTGTCTGTTCCTCCATCAGATCCAGGATGCCAGGAACCACGTGAACCAGGCTCTGCAACTGCTGAGCAGCCGTGATGAGAGCTATCACTTTAAGACCGGGGCTGAGGTTAATAAGGTCTGTCCCTCCGGGGCAGCGGCGTGCCGTTCACATCAGCACAGGGATGAATGGGGCTTAGACTCCAGTCTTTTTTTAACGCCATGTTTCTGCTCCTGCTGCAGCTCATGGATGCAGTGATGCTCCAGCTGACACGAGCAAGGAACCGCCTCACCACCCCGGCCTCCCTGACGCTGCCTGAGCTGGCCACCAGCGGTCTGATGGTACAGGCCAGCAGACAACACACAAACACTGCTTCAACACGTTACGTCTAGATTCTGTTCCGCTAAATCTGGCAGCCAAGATGAACGACGCATCATCCAACACTAGTCTTTAACAAACGTGTTGCTGTCACAGATATATTTGATACGAATCTCAAGTTACTGAGGAAGTCTGGTATGATGTGGGCAGAAGTATCCAGGCTTCTCTGCTTTTGGGCTCCTGTTTTACCTTCGATCCAATTATTTCAAATCATTTTGAAACCCTTAGTGTTCTTCCACCTCGGTGTCAACAGATTGTTTGTCTTTTTCCTGTTTTGACATCAGAGTGCCTCCATGCATAAAATCAGATCTGTAAAGAAATCGTTTTTGAAGATTGGTGTGGACAAACTTGACTGGCTTTCACAGGTTTCTGACTTCAACACCTTTAGGATATACTTGGAAACCAGGCATTATCCCCCAACAAGTTGCTAGAAAGCCTGAAACTATGAAAAGACAAAAAGAGTGGAGGCAGTTATAGCAGCAGATCAATGCTCATGGTTTCAGCAACACAACTGTCTCATGTGTAATGTTAAGATGTGAACATGTAGTGCAGGCACAGAGCAAAGTTTTATAGTTGTAACCTTCACACTCCTGAAAACAACATTTCGTACTGCTGCTCCATCTCCCTTCTTTCTCTGCTTAACCTTTCATCATCAGAAAATGTTCACCCCTCCCATGCCAGGCGACGTGATGGTCAACTTTTACATCAACTTGAGCAAACTGTGTCTGACCGTCTACCAGCTCCACGTGCTTCCTCCAAATACCACCAAGGTGAAAACGTGTGAAAGCCCTGCAGCACCGTGTGAAGCTACAGGCGGCGTCATGTGACCGACGTTTTAATGTTTTCTCTCCACAGAATTTCAAGCCAGCTGGAAGCTCAGTGTTGCACAACCCCGGAGCGATGTTGTAAGGCCTGTTTTCCTAAATCCTTCTGTAGAATACAGTGTACTTGAACATACATAAAACATACAATGAATAGCTCAAAAAGATGAATAGTAAATGAAATCAAGCAGATAGTCGCTGGTAACACTTGTATAAGTTCTGCGTTTCCAGGGCTCCATTAGAAACTCTACAGCCTTTAAAAAGAGCATCTTTAAGCTCCCTTTAACCTCTCGCTTTTCTCTGTGAACCCTCGTCTCACAGCGAGCTCAACAACAACCGCTTTGAGGTGAGCCACGTTCACAAGGTGGAGTGCGTGGTACCGTGGCTCAACGATACGCTGGTGTTCTTCACCATCTCCCTGCAGCTCTGTCAGCAGCTCAAGGACAAGGCGAGTATCTAAAAATACACTCCTACCTGCTTGATCTTGACACGAAATGGCGGCTAGATGGGCACACTGAAGATGCAAAAATACCCATGAGCCCCCGCCAGCACTGCGGCTGCTGAATTCATTCCAAAGTCACCCAAAAGTTAGAAGTGAACAAGTTTATAACTACAAACCTGGTCTAACAGTGATGCATCCATATGAATAATATGAGAAGGATCTGTGTGGCTCAGCTCCATGTTGCGTAGCTGTATTCATCAGGACACGTTAAGGGTGACAACACGTTTCTGTTTCACTTCGAACACCTCACTGAAGATAAATACAAACTCCATGTTTCTGTGACTTTAGAAAAACAGATCATGTCCAAGCTATGACTGTCTCCACACTCAATTCTTGTTTTACCCACTTCAAATGATGTACTCTAAAATGTGCGGAGAATGAAGGAGTCGAAATACTTCCTGAAGTGACTGCATTTAAGCTTCAGCTGGTTAACCGGTTGATGCCCAACTTTGCATGTGTAATTGTGTGCAAATCTAAACGTGCTGCTCTGACTTTCCTTTTCCTGCAGATTTCAGTCTTCTCCAGTTTCTGGAACTACAGACCTTTCTAATGTTCCGCCAGCGACCGGTCAGACCCAAACTATCCACTCCATTACGCCTCTGAGGATGTGTAAGGGACACCCTGGGAAGGTTTTATTTTTATATGTGTTTGTCATGCAATCATTCAGTCTGAAGTGTTGCGTGATTAGTCAGGAGCCATTTAGACTCGAACAGATGTCAGCATTTCATATACTCAGTTGCGTGAACACAGCTGACCGACATTCCTCTTATATATGTGTATTACATCTCCGAGTACTGACTTCTTAATGACTGAATGTGGTTGTTGTTGCTGCTTTATTATTGGAATTATTATTTTTTTGTTATGTTAAAGCAGCTTAGTTCGTACTATTTATCTACTTTTCAGCCAAATGTTATCAACTGTCATGTGGAACACTAATTTTAAGCAGTTGTTGGTCATCGCAGTGGCTTTCTCTCTGGAGTACTTTGAGTTCCCCTCACAGGAGTTTCATATTGCGTCCATCCTCTGCGTTCCCAAACAATACAGTTCTACTTTCATCCCCCCAGGCTCCAAAAACACTGCAAATGTTACATATTAAGGTCAGTTTTCTCATCATGGGCAGAACGACTCAGCCTGTGAAAGTACTTGTATCACGTCTTCTTAAGGTCTGGATCAGGGATTGTTTGTGTAAAGTCAAATTATTTCATGAAAAAAAATTCTGTGTAATGTAAAATAGTCGACTCAGAGTTCATTCATTTGACTGAAAGTAGGCTGATGTGTTGTTCGGAAGACAAGGACAAACACCAGGTCTAAAGATCGAGCTAACCAGCAGGTGTGAGATACAGGCCTTCACAACCAGTCTGTCATGGAACACAATGTTTGGTGTCTTGTAGACGGGGCTTCTTGTAGACAGTTTACTTTGTAACACAGCAGAGACACCAATATGACACAGATATGTTGTTGGGAAAAGCAGTAACGTCTTCACTGCTAATGTAGAGAAGGTGGTGTGCTTGGTGTTAACGCTGAGGATGAGAGGAGAGGAGCTGAAATGAAAGCATTTAGGCACACTGTCATTCATCGGTAATGGTGGCCAGTAGGTCATTCACTGGGCAGCATGGTCACTTCTGAGAGCTTTGGTGTGGAACAGTTGTTATCCCCATCCATGTTCTTACCGGGTTCCTCAAAGCCGTGTGTTAAAAGGATGGCTCTTTTTCAATACGGAGCACACTAAGTCCTGAGTGACTCCAATACTTGAACAGTTTGGAGAACGAACTCTCGATGACGGGAGGAGTATTTAGCAGCTTTCTTGCTGATGCCAGCAGCTCAACTGAGCTCTGATGACCATGCTTTAAACACAGCTGTACCTGCAAAGTGATCTCAACTCAAAAATATAGTGAAAAGATAAAAGTTGTATCAAAAAATAGAAATGTTATGATGTTATGACCACAATGCCTCTGTTTTGTTCATACATTTATTGATTTTTATTCCAATTTGGTAGTTATATCAAAATCAGAGGCAGTGGTAAATCACACCAACGGGTTGAAGTCAGACTATTGACCCCATGATGACAACAGATGTTGACCAACTGGTCATCTCAGGAAGCTGCTACAATGACCGGCCGATCTCATCTGGCAATGCGTCCTCACATCACTGAAAATAGGCGGCTTTCCACTGCAGGTGCAAGGTGTTAGGAACATTTACACTCATGGCTCTCTAATAAGTTCTGTCAGCCTTTGTCCTTGTGTAGAAAACTTACCCTGGAGTAGATACTTTTTTATGAAAGAGGTTCTACTGAGGTGGTTCTTGTGATCGGGAACACCACCGCTCTAAAATGGCCAGCAAGTTCCTGTAGTGGAAAACGGCCGTGTGTTTGACACAATAGAATGAGGTTAGGTTGCCTCCACATAATCACTCAAAACACAGAAATGTCTGCTAGAAATCCTCATGAAAACCATATGGCTTTATTGTCCCATCAATGTGCAACGGGACTGCTCCACATCCTCCCCCATATCATTACATCTCCTGGCAACAGGGCCATCAGAGAGGGCTATCTAGAAAACTTCACTGACTTGACAGGAGGAAGGTCTTTAAAAACAAAGCTCCTATCTGCCTGGATGTCAAGATGGCAATGTGATTGGATGAATATATCTGCTCGTAGCAACTGGTTGAGTCCATTACTGGTTGTTTTTTTTGGAGGGGGAGTGATTTTTAATCCTTAATTTAATAGGCTACCTCCTTGGGAATACAGCTCAGTATAAATTTATCTTTAAAGTACAATTGAAACAGGAGCTGGCAGATGGAACTGTGTTTGTGAAAAGTAAGCAGCATGTAGCCACTGTGAAGTGCAAGATGACAGTCATTAAGTTTATAAGTTATCCAGATAATAGAATAGAATAAAAATATATTATATTATTATATTATCCAGATATTGTGCACCATGTCTCTCCTCATCCCTGCAGGGTTGGTATCGTCAGTAGAAGCTCGTTAACAGCTCCATGCCAGGCTGGAGTAAAGACACCACGGTTGAGAGTTGTGGATCTGGACAGCTAACACAGAACCTTCCAAACTGACAGCGTTGTGTAAAAAACAGACTCACAGTGAACTTGAATACGTTGGTTTTGGAAAAAAATTTGCAAAGGTGTTCATTATACGAACCATTTGTGAAAGTCAACAGCAGTTGTTCGTCCTTAGTTTGGTTTGACTCAGAGCCACTGCTGACTTTGAAAACTGGACAACACATGTTGTGACGCCACACTTATTACACTTCATAACAGGTAGTTTTAGTTTGGACTGCAGCACAATGTCAGTGTGAAATATTTCTCATTTGTGTTGAGTACAAGTGGGTGGACACGCCAGAGGATTTCGAGAGAACTTTCGCACTTCCCACCATGTTTGGGCAAATGAAAGCAGCTCCAAAGTCCAGCAGCAGCTACTTTCATTGCAGCTTGTTTAACCCCTCAGGACACCTTCTGTTGCATCACAAAGGGTCAGAGTTGTCCTATGATGAAATTGGCAGGTGTTCATTCTCTGTGTGAGTTGTTTTGTATGTCAGGAGCAGAACTAGTGCTATTCCACATACACCCAACCCTGATCACGGTTGGGTGATAGGACGCGTGCATCGGCTATCGGTGACTGGTGGAATCCATTGCAAGTTGTTTTTTTAAAGGGCGATTTTTGTCCTTTTATTTTGCTCGTGACAGTTTGACTTGGTAAATACTTATTCGGTAAAGTGCAGTTCAACGTTAGCGCTAATAGGAGCTGGAAGTGGGAGTTGCATGTATGTGAGAAGTAAGCGCATGCTGACGGAGGTTATTAAGTTACTGTCATCAGCTATTAAGTGTCTGAATAGGCTCAAATTTCAGTATAATGGTGTCGGACACCTCCATGGATAGACCGCCAATCCGTCCAGTTGTTGAACTGACGGTGCCCGGTTGGAAAACTCAAACATATCACCCAACCCTCACACTGATCCCACCAATGGAGTCACTCTATGAGGATTCAAGTGTTACACTGTGTTTATATCGTGTGATGGACAGTAGAGATGAGAGAGATTCCTGTGTACAGAGCTACAAATGTTTATGTCTTCAAGGCGGTTGTACGATCACAGAGTTGGTTCATTGTAATACCACATATTCACACTGTAACTTTAATATCATATTAAAGAACAGACTCTGGCATTTATGAGGCATTCATGTTTTATTTTCAGGCACTTGTGTGTTATTCAGTGCCAAGTCAAAGATGAATTGTTAGTTGATGAAGTTGGAAACACGTGGAACAATGGAGCTGGACCAGTGTTTTTTTTTTTTTTTTTTTTTACATTTGTCATTGCTGTTAAATGAAGATGAGTCACATTCCCTGTGTATTACTAAATGTCTGAATGATAAGCTACTTGTCACTTGTTCATGTAATTTCATTTTGAATGTAAATGTTTGTCTGCTCTGTGTTCATATTTATTTTGTTTCTCACATGTTTTTTGAATCCCTGTAAACACTAATCCAATCATTAACAAATGACTTCCTTCCAATAAGTGTTAATCTATTTGAAAAAGCTGCCTACCTTGCAAAATGTAGAAATTATTTAGCTGTGCAATAAAAATATTCTTAACATCATCCTGTCCTTGTTGAACTCTCTCTGCTGACTGTTGCTGTGAAGTTACATAAAAAGATGTCTTACAAATACAGACTCTGGGCATCCAGGTTATTTACATTGGTGTGAGTGAAGCGACATCTGTTAATGGTTGTTACGTTCCCCGGAGAGTCCAGAACATGAAAAGAAGCAACAATACAAGTCTTCCAGGAGAAGAAGGAGATGAGGAGATAGAACCATCCATCCATTGTCTATACACCCCTTAATCCTCACTGGGGTCGTGGGGGGCTGGAGTCTATCCCAGCTGACTCAGGGTGAAGGCAGGAGACACCCAGGACAGGTCACCAGTCTATCACAGGGCTACACTTAGAGCCAGACAACCAAGCACACTCACATTCACACCTACGGACAATTTAGAATCACCAATTAACCTCAACATGTTTTTGGACTGTGAAAGGAAGAACCTGGAGAGAACCCACGCTGCACGGGGAGAACATTGAAACTCTGCATGTCCTGACCAGCTGTGAGGCGATGGTGCTGACTACCGAGCAGAACCAAGATGGAACCATGACCGAGCTTAAATTAAAGACACAACTGAAGCTGGTGTTTCTAACCAAAGGACAAGAGAGGAAACCTGGAGCCTGGCCTCATCTGAAGTCAGTTAACGGTTAACCAGACAACACCTGTTTAAAGAAAGGACACAAAAGAGCGCGACCCATTCATTGGACATTGTGACCTTCCCTCCCTTGCATGATTCCTTATGTAAGGTGAAAGTTCTCCCTGCTTGTTAGGATATGTGGGTGTTTCTTTAAGACACACTAGCTTGCCTGACAATGCTCTATGGTTTACCTAGAACCAAGGTTTACAGTGTAAACATACATTCTTTGTTGCATCAAGACTATTTCTTCACTTCATATTGTATGTGCTGGGTAATTTAACACCTCCAATCCTTGAAGGACTGCTGAGGTTAGTTCACAACATGCAAGACTGGCAAGAAGAACGCAAATTGAGACCCCACCCAAATTACCAGAGTGGAAGCCGATGGAAAGCTGATCAGTCTTCGCAATGGTCTGTGTATGTTGTATGAACTCTGCCATGGTTCTGACAGATCATAGCATACGCTGGTGCCTTCTAGTCATCTCCAGTGGAGGACAGTGTATGCCACTTGACTGACTAGAACAGGCGGTGCTCAGATAGAACCTAAGGTGGATGAAACCATAAGCTTCTTGGCACCTCCAAGAAACCTCAAAGCTTCTGGGCATCTCCTTCTGGTCTTCTCTAGAAGGGGAGAGACCTTGCCACTTGATGGACTGCAACAGGTGGTACTCAGATACAACAGGAAAGTCAGGGTGGGGCATAAGATACACCTGGTTTGCACCTCTAGTCCTGTAAACTCTTTGATGACTGCCACCATGCCTTGCAGGGTAACGGTAGACTTCTCTGCCTTCAGCTGAGACTGCCCCAACAGTGGGATGTCTGGTCCTGACCTCAGCTGATCCACCTGCTGAGCCTCACACTCTGTAGTAAATACCCGCTAATAGCATAAGTCGACAGCCTTAGGGGATGGTGCCCAGGCCTCCTGCATAGTCCTCACTACAGGCTTTAACAAACCTAAGACAGGGACAGGCGCCTGGCCACCAATCTAAGCCCTGCCATGATGGGGTGGAACATGATCTTGCTCACTTTAGACAAGTTTCTCTGAAGTTCTGAAGTGGGAGTTCCCCATAGTGCATATGGGGCCAAAAGAGAGCCACCAAAATCAGTTTCACCCCTTCCACCTGAATCCTTTTGAATGAGAGGCTGAAGAAGAGTAAAAGGGAGAGTGGCGTGGAGTAGACCCTGGGGCCACTGGTTTAAGGTGGATTGCTTGTTCTCAGGGAAAAGAGTCAACAATGTGCCAACTTTCAGGAAGCAAATAAGTTGACTTCTGCCATCTGCGCCTCAACGACCTGAGGATGGAGTTTATGCTTCTGTGTGGAGAAGCAATTGATCAGCCAGTTGTCGAGGTAATTAAGGATCCTGAGCCTGCTGCCTTATGGGTGTAAGGACTGCATCCATAGAGCAAGTGCATGTTCAGGAAGCCAGAGATATGTTGGAAGGCCTGAAACTCAAATATTCTGCCCTCAAACCCGTTCATATCGAGGCCATTTCTCTGCTATTTATGTGTTTAAAACGGAAGAGAGATGAGGCCGAGGTGAAATGCCTGTGTTCAGCAGAGATCACTGTTAAAAAAAACTGCAAGCAATTCCTTGGGAGGGAAACTGCTGTGATGAAGAGATAAAGAAACAGAAACAGGAAAATCATACGGTCACTTTTCTCATTCTCTGTTATTGAATACAGACTGATGGAAGACGGGTTTGTTTTTGTTTTTTTTAAAATTTAAAAACAAATCCAAACTGTGCAAAAAAGTGAGGTGTTCGAAATACTTTCTGGGGCGACTGTATGCCTCCATTTCTTTTGTGCCATTTGGGTCTTTGTGTCTGTTTGCTGTAGGACTCTGCTGTAGGAATAAAATGATGAGAATAATACACCAGCACACGAAGAAATTTTAGATTTTTATTACTAAGTCAAACATTCAAATTGAAATGTTCACATCATTTCAGCAAACGAAAGTAAAAAAAAGGTGATTTCTAACCTGAAGAGACCAAAAGGTTCCTGAGAATTTCTATCTGTTCTGTGGTATTCGAACCATAAACCCCATAAAGCAGAGACAGAAAGATCACATGTTAGATTTTTATAGCTGGGTAGCAAAGTACAAACATTTGGTGGACGGATCAGTGACAGTAGAAACAAAGCTTCTGTTTTGTTCCAGATTATGAGGATTCGTCGGTGCAGTTCAGCTGTCAGGGCACCATAGCCATGTTGTCTATGCCGACCTTCCGCCTCCGAGGCTGTTGAGGAGACATGAAGGAAGCTTTAATTTGACTGTCATTATCAGAAAACATTCTGTACTTTACTTGAGTATTAATTTTTCTGACGACTTTTTACTTTTACTCCCTACATTTGAACACAAATATCTGTACTTTCTACTCCTTACATTCTCAAAACTGGCTCGTTACTCGTTTCAACCTCCTCAGATGACGACATGACGTATAAGACGTAACAACAAACGTCTTTATCTTTCCCAGCAGTGTGCACTTTGTCACTGAAGCTCCACACAGCCCTGCCTGCCTCAGCTGCCTGCGAGAGGCTTTTTAGCACCACAGGACTGATTTTCAGACCCAAAAGGGCAGAACTTTGAGAACCAGCTTCTGCTGAGGCTCAATAAAAGATGTTGGTCGTCTTTAAGAGACGAGTGTTTCCATGTTGATTATAATGTTTAATGTTCATAATGTTGCTGAAATGGAAAACTGTCCAGTGATGTTTTTCTCTGTAGCAGCACTGTGCAGGTTCCTAAAGGATGAAAACAATTTGTGTGCTTAAAACTTTTTTAGTTTTGCAGAGTTATCAAAAGAGACATCGTGTGTCATCGAAGCTAAAAATTCATCTTTACTTTTTACTTTTGTACTTAAGTAAATTTCTGAACCTGTACTTTTTTACTTTTATTTGAGTAACGGAGCTGAATGAGTACTTCTACTTTAACCAGAGTCTATTTTTACACAAGTATCTCTACTTCTACTTAAGTAAAGAATGTGAGTACTTTTGCCATCTCTGTTGGATTTTTATTACTTTCCCTTGAAAAAGTTTCAAGAAATTTAAAATGTCCCTTCCGGTGAAAATAGCATTAAAGGAGGGTTTTCCTCTTATCACCTGCTAACTCTAGAGAGCAGTAAATCAGAATTTTAGATGCTTATTACTCATCATTTGGTGTCCTAATTGAAAGCTGGACTCACATGAACGGTGACTCAAATGTGTGCGTCTATTGTTATTTGCCTGTATTCTTTCCTTTCACGCTCTGTGGCAGTGTGCTGAACCCCTGACCTTTACCAGTGTGCTGTTTCTTCCAGCTTAATCCTGTTTGTGTGTTTACCTTGTCATTGCAGCAGCAGCAGCAGCAGCAGCGGATGAGGACCAGGATGACCAGCAGGAGGCACATACCTGACGCAGCACAACAGGACGAGATTACAGATCTGGGTTTGCTTATGCGACCGTATCCTTCTCAGGGTGGAAACCTTCCAACATCTGCAGTCAGACTAAGGCTGTATGACTTTTCATTTCAGCGAAATCATCATCATGTGTGCATGAGCAACAGTCACATCGCTGGAAGCATCATGTAAATTAAGAAAATGAACGCATCATGCTTGACACTAATGAAAACTTGCATCTCACAAAAGACACCTCCATTTTTTTCCCCCTCTCCTTGTTTTTTTCTTGCTCCATGTTCCTCTGTATGAGCATGCCTATTTAATGCTATTTCTTTCTCATCAGAAGTGTGTGTGCCACAGAATAATCAGGACATCCTATCAGCCGTCACTAACCGATGAAGATGAAGAATACTGCAAAGGAGACGATGTCCCAGTCAGACCGGAACAAGTGCTTGGACTGCAGTCTGGAAAGCACATCGTCGAACTGATCCTCCAGGTCGGACGGAATATTCCTCTGATCCATCGCTCAGTCTGATCATGGAAACACATTACAAACACATTACAGTTCAGCTTCTGTCAATGACACACCAGAGCAGCAGCAGGCAGAAGAGGAACAGTGTTGAGTTGGAGTGAGAGGAGAAAAAAAAGGCTGGAAATCGATTACATTTGAAAATAGTCTCTATATGCAGTAATGTAGAAAACGCATCATTGGCAAGTTCAAAAGTTTTCTACAGGATTGAGATCAGAGCTTTGTGATGGCCACTCCAGAACATAGACTTTGTTGTCCTGAAGCCTCTTTGTAACTAATCTGGTGGTATGTTTAGGGTCATTGTCCATTTGAAGACCCATTTGTGTCCAAGCTTTAACTTCCTGGCTGATGTCTTGAGATGTTGCTTCAATATTTCCACATAATGTTCTTTCCTCATGATACCATCTATTCTGTGAAGTGCATCAGTCCCTCCTGCAGCAAAACACCCACAACATGATGCTGCCACCCCCGTACTTCACAGTTGGGATGGTGTTCTCAGGCTTCAAGCTTCATCCTTTTTCCTCCAAATGTAACGATGGTCATTAAGGCCAAACAGTTCAGGTTTAGTTTCATCAGACCACAGGACATGTCTCCAGAAATGAAGCTCTTTGTCCCTGTGTGCATTTACAAACTGCAATCTGGCTTTTTTTTATGTTTCTTTTGGAGTAATGTCTTCTTCCTCTCTGAGCATCCTTCCAGCCCATGTTGGTACAGGACTGGTTTCACTGTGGATAATGACTCTCTGACCAGCTTCAGTTCATTTGTTCTGGGGTTGATTCGCACATTTCACCCCAAAACACTTCATCTCTGGGACACAGAACCCGTCTCCTTCCTGAGCGCTATGATGGATGGACATTCCCATGGTGGTTATACTTGTGTGTAACTGTTTGAACAGATGAACGTGGAACCTTCAGGCGTCTGGAAATTATACCCAAGGATGATCCAGACTAGTGGAGGTCCACAATTCTCTTCCTGACATCTTGGCTGATTTCTTTAGATTTTCCCATGTTGTCATAAAACGAAGCAGTGTGTTTGAGGTGTGCCTCCAATTAACTCAGATGGTGTCAATTAACCAATCAAAAGCTTCCAAAGCCATGACATCATCATCTGGGCTTTACCAAATAGTTTAAAGGCATCTTAGTGGATGGAAACTTCTGACTTTGGAAAAAAGTAGCAAAAAAATTCTCTCTCTCATTATTCTGGCAGTTAGCAAATAGAAATAATCTTGGTAATCCTAACTGACCTAAATCAGGAAAAGTTTAGTCTGATTTAATGTCAGATAGTGAGAAAAAAAAAGGTTTTATGTCTTTTTATTCAGTGTATGTAAACTTCTGGTTTCAACTGTATATATCCACAGTGCTTAAATCAGACAGGTGGTCTCATAAATTTGTCGGCTGTATGTTTTACTCTTCGTTGACTCATCATGCATCAGCTACACCCTGTATGGGGTCTATGGATCTGTATGATCTACTCTCCTTATTGAAAGTCAAACTGTCCTCTGTGCTAAAGGTCAGCGTGTCAACACTCAGCCACGTCTCCTACATCAGAGGGGTGATTTACACATGGAGCACAGCAGTTTAGGCCTATTTAAATCTTCTGACGTGTCACAGTGATCTTATTGAGCGTTTGTATCTAAACACTTCTGTGCAAAGCCGAGCTGCTGCAGAGATTCACGGTTTCTCTGGAGAACTCAGTGGAAACAACAAAGCAGGTGTGTGACAGATGAGACCAACACCACCAGAGCTGTCCGTGCATATTCTATATTTTTTAAGCACATAAATGCAACAGGATATTTGCGGCAGACCTATCATTCTGCAAATATGAACTTTATCTCATCATTAAAGTGACTAAAAAATAAGGAAACAGTTAATTGGCTTAATGATCAAATCGTCTACCATCACCCTGACACCGGTGATGATGAAATGTATGGAGAGGCTGGTGTTACAGCAGGTCAAAGCCCATATGTCACCAGGTTTTGACCAACATCAGTTCACCTACAGGTCAAACAGATCTACAGATGATGCCATCTCCATCGCCCTACATACCACTCTCAGCCACAGTGAAAGCCCCAACACATGTTCGTTGACTCCAGCTCTGCATTTAGCTCCATCAGCCCCAGCCGACTGATCAACAAACTGCAAACACTGCACCTTGGAACCTCCCTCTGTCTGTGGTTCAAGGACTGACAGACCTCAGCATGTCAGAATGGGCACCTCCACATCCTCCACCATCGTCCTCAACACTGGTGTTCCTCAGGGCCATGTCCAGTCCTTTACACACTGTACACCCATGACGGTGTTGCCACCCACAGCTCCAACACTCTTATCAAATTTGCGGATGACAACCATCGTGGGGTTGATCAGCAACAACACCATGCAGGGAGGAGGTCCAAGCACTGGCGGCCTGGTGCAGCGACAAAAGAAGTCATCATTGACTTTCAGAAGTCGAGGACCACATTGCACTCAGGCCTGAGCATCAATGGGGAAGAAGTGGAGCAGGTCATGAATTTTAAGTTTCCTGGACTGCACATGTCAGAGGATCTGGGCTGGACTGTGAACACCACCCACATTGTCAATAAAGGCCCAGCAGCGTCTCTTCTTTCTCAGTACGCTGAGGAGGAACAAACTCCCTCCACTTCTGCTGAAAAGCTTTTACCGCTGCACAACAGAAAGCATCCTGTCCTATGGATGGACAGTGTGGTGGTGGCAGCTGCACGGCATCGGAGAGGAAACAACTTCAGCGGGTCATCAAGATGGCTCAGTGGTTTATTGGATCCCCACACCTAGAGGAGATCTACTTGTGTCGTCTCCTCCGACAGGCCACAAAGATGTGGAATTACCCCGCCTACCCAGGACACTCTGTATTTACTGCCCTCCCCTCTGGCAGACTCAGAGTCATAAGAGACTAAAACACAGCTTTATCCCCAATGGCTGTGAACAGACTGCTGGAGGAACCAAGACGCTCCCAGTTTATGGACTCATTCTAACATTGCACTTTTAATAAAGTATTTATTTTACTGCTATTGTATTATTTATATCACCTTTTAACTTTGGTTTTTCTTAGACTCTTACCACATTAGCTGCTGCTAAGATGATGCCAAACGAAATTTCGTTTTATTTATTGTCCAATGACAATAAAGCTTCTTCCAGTAATTAACACTTTACTGTATTCAGTTTTATTCATGTACTGTAGCTGCCTCAGAACAAACACACGTCTGTTTCTATGCGTTTCCTAAATAAGTAAATATAAAGAAAATATCTGCCTCTCTAACATCCATGTTTGGCCACAGAGGCTTGTCAGGATGAACAGCTCTGTTGGTTTGACGTTTCTGTGCGTTTCATTAGTTTATCGCGACAGTTTTAGTCACTTTCTTACAACAAATACACGTTTACTGTTTCTTCCTGTGTCCCGAATAAATGTAGACACTTCCTTCTATGTTGACCGGTAACCAGGCATCATCTCCATATCATATGACTGTATTTATGCTCCAAGTGTTTCAGGATGAAATGCGACAAAACGAAGTGCGATTTATCATTTTTACGTACAAACAATCCAAAACTCTTTTAAAAAAAAATTATTTTCTAATAAACAGTACACAGGTGAACAACGGGAGCCTACCTGTTTACACAGCCGCTGTTTTTCTTACTTTTCCTTCCGGGTGTGAAGGTCGAACTGACGCACCTGTTCGCTCTGACTCCCCGCTATGGAAGACCAAACGTGCCATATGGAGAAAAAAAAAATCACTGAATAAATAATAAAAAAATAAATAGAAATGAAGAAATAAAACCCTAACTTATTGAGTATATGTGCATGTTAATTTTGACAAATTACCTTTTTGTTGTTTTTATATTTAATTACCTCTGAATGTATTCTTTCATGTTTACATTTATTATTATTATTTTTTTAAATTCTCTAGTTATTCATTTGCATATAATTTTTTTCTGCTTTAATTCACTCCTTCACACATATTTTAATCACGGGACTAATCTGTCATTAGCAGACAGATGAACACCCTCTGAATCAAACCCACAACACACCACTTCTCCTGACTGCTGCCTCTTTCCTTCATTTATCTGCTCCAATTTTTTTTTGCACTCGTCTCATGTTGCCAGTAGGGGGCAGCATTGCCCAGAATCCCCACGTGTCCGCTGTGTTTCTGGAAGGACTTTGGTTTACGGCTGCTGCTACATGATCTGTTCTGTTGGATGGGCACAGCATGAGCTCGGTGTAAAACACCACAAAACACACTATTCTGGTACTGACTGGTACTGAAGTCTCAGTGAAGGGACAGTTCGAAAACACTCCCGTCTCCTGAAAGCTTCAATGTTTCTGCCGCTTCAAAGATCAAAACAGGCCGAGACTCACGAGTAGAGCTTTTACCTGTTCGAGTCTAACACTCGTGAAAACAAAAATAAAACAAGAATAACATATATTCTGACTTGGAAGGGTTTTTACATTACATTATATAGAGCGACTGTGACTCCACGAATCACAAGGTTGGCAGTTTAATTTATGTGCCAAAGTGTCCTTTGGCAAAAGTAGAACTTAGGTCATCATGATTCACAGTGAGGAAACATTACAGGGCCAGCTTTGACCCTGAATGATCCTCCAGAGCAGCTATAGAAAATAAACAGATCATTGCAGAACTCATTACTACTAATTCAACATGTGAGAAAACCTACAGTATGCTTCACTGTTACTCTCGTCTTTGCACACAAACTGCCTTTTGTTGAAGGATTTTCTTCAGATTTTGATTCTACAGTTGATCTTCTGACATTTGTCAGCAGCACAGTTCTTTTTTTTAAATTGGTGCACAGATGAGCTCCTCATCAGAGCAAAGAAAGACTTTCTGTCATAAAAACGCCTCCTGAGCAGAGTTCTAACAAGAACCCTTTACATGTATTTAATGTTAACTCTTTCTGTATTGATTTTCAACAGCTGTTGTCTCACTTAAACTGCTGCCTTCACTCTTGATTTAAATGAATTAATATTTATCAAATACCTTAACAATGTTCATTTATGTAATCATTGTTTAAATGTTGTTTTTATGTCAGTGTTCGATGTATTTTGAAGGTTTAGGCAATGCATTTCTATAAATAACAAATGAATTAAAGTTATGATGGGAACTGATGAACATGTGGCTTTATGTGTGTGTGCGCATGTGTGTGTGACACACTACCTGACCTCTCAGGTTTCAGTCGGAGAGGCGAAGCAAGGCGACGCTCGAAGACAGCAGCAGTAAGACAGGCAGGGAGACAGACAGACAGGTCTACAGACAGACAGGTCTACAGACAGATAGACAGACAGACAGGCAGGTCTACAGTTAGACAGACGGGCAGCAGACAGTTAGACAGACAGGTGGACACAGGGAGAGAGACAGACAGGTCTACAGACAGACAGGTGGACAGACAGACGGACACGCTGCTGATGTTTACTGGAGTTATTCTTGAATCTACAGCAGGTAGGACAGAACCATCCTGTGTTTATTTCACTCTGTTTGTACCAAACAGCTCACACTTGGTTCTGTTGGACTTTGTGTTTGAGGCTGCCTTCAAAGTGTGTGAAGTTTCCCTCCTGTGATTTATCTCTGAATGAGCGACATCCTCACCTTAACAGGAGCTCAGCTTCAGCCTTTAATCTGCTGGAAGCAGAATTTATGATGTTTCTTTTTTATGCTGAATTTGTGAAAATAGTGAAAAAAGACAAACAAATGCTTCGTAACCCAGTCCGTATCAGCTGACTGTGAACTCATCATTCATGTCATCTTGCACCTGAACGCATCGTGTGAGTCCATGTGTGTTGTGTGTCTGTCGTGGTTTCAGCTCCTGAGACTCCTGAACTTATTGAAACTGTTTTTGTGAATGCTGCCATTGTGTGTCTGTGTGTGTGTGTGTGTGTGTTGTGTTGCGTAGTACACCTGCTGTGCAGCTGTAACCCTGATCCTCTTGGTCACGTTGAGTGTATGTTGTGTGTCTGTTATGTTGTGTGTTGTGTGTCCATGTTTATCTTATGTGCTGTGTGTTTGTATGTATGTTCAGTGTGTGTGTGTGTGTGTGTGTGTGTGTGTGTGTGTGTGTGTGTGTGTGTGTGTGTGTGATAACTGCTGGTTTAGGCTTAGGGTTAGGTTTTGGTTTTGGTTCAGAGTTTGGTTTGGGTTAAGTTTAGGTTTAGGATTAGGTTCAGGGTTAGTGTTAGATTAGGTTTAGGTGTAGGGTTAAGTTTAGAGTTTGGTTTAGGGTTAGGTTTCGGTTTATGTTAGGTTTAGATTTATGTTAGGTTTGATTTAGGGTTAGGTTTGGGGTTAGTTTTAGGTTCAGGGAGTGCAGGAGGCTGCAGCAGTTGAAGGGTTAATGACAGCTGACTGTTAAAGGTCAAACAGCAGATGTGGATGAAGATGTGACTTTAGGTTCGCTGGTTGAAGCTGGTCACCGGTTCAGATTTCGAGTTTTACTCTAAGAAGGTTGACGGTTCTTTAGCAAACATCGGAACACATTAGTTAAATTGACACCAAAACAACAACTTTAATAATTACTTAATAAACTTGTTAAATTTACTTTATGTCTGTAATGAACTCCAAGTCTTTCATTCTCACTTTAAGATCATTTAATTTCTCAACATGACAGGAGGGTTTTTTTTTTTTTTTATAGGACTCTAATTTGAACAGAATCATAAACATATTCGTTCTTAAAACTCTCAACTCAAACGTTTTCTTCTCCTTCAGAAGTTAATAAGAGTTCAGGGTGGTAACTATGGCAACAGGACTGATGCTTCAGGTAACTGAGTGACGTTAACTAACAGGTTTAACAGAAGACACAGTCAGGCTCTCTCAGGTGTCGCACTGGGAATATTTTGTCCTTATATTTAATCTCTACATGTTCCTTGTGGTTAAACTGCTGGAAGAAACCAGATGACCAGTATGTGTGGCTAGAAGACTATATCACTGCAGCGCTACATTATCCACGGCTCCATGTGACTCAGAATAGTTTTAAAGAGGAGCTCATCAGCTGGATGATGAGCTTCAGGTTGGGTTTTATAAGACGGACTGCTGACTGAGGTTAGAGTTTAAGATAAGCCAGCAGGCGCAGTATTTATAGGCCAGCTGACTGTTGAACAAGCTGATCAGGGATCAGATATTAACAACTGCTGCCACCAACAACTGCTGCAGTTTAAATTAGCTCCGTGTGGCTGTGGCCAGGCTAACCGCTAACTGAGCAGGGTCACACTGAAAGGTTAACAGTCTGCCAGAGGAAATAGCATTTAGCTGGTCAGATTAGCGCTGCTAGCATCAGTTCAGGATGGCGAGTGTGCTATAAGACGAGGTGGCAGCTCCTGACACAGGAAAGCTTTAATATAGATGGATTATCACACGTATCTGGTTACTGAAGCTGTCTCTACTCAGTGTTGACAGATGAGCAGCAGCCCACAGCAGCTCGCCAGCAAAAACATATGTGCCGCTAGCTGCTAACAGCTAAGCTAATCAGCTGAGCGTTACATATGTGAAACGCACACAGTGTAAACTAAGAGCTTAGTTATGTCCACACTGATGTCTGCTGCATCGTCTCATATTCATTCATCCAAATTTATCCAGACGAATTTGGGATCTTCGAGCTCGTCAGGTAAAATAATATTCTGGAAGAAAACATCCGCTACAGTAAGAACAGTTCAGACAGTTGAAGCTCGACATCTGTTTTCGTCGTTGTTGCACAGTTTTACATCTGTAATCAAAGTGTTCACAGAGGATTTAAAAGGCCATCACCTTACATGTTGCTATGAGCTGAAGTGTTTATACAAACTTTCAGGGCTCCACAATGTTCAGGACATTTAGTTCAACAGGTGTTTGTGGTGCTCAGGTGTGTTTCATCGCTTCATCAGTGCAGGTCGGCGAAAACTCGGCTTGATTCAAGTTTCTCCTCACCGAGGCAGTCTGTAGTTGCCTGTTTTTAACATGAGAACCAGAGTTGTGTCATTAAAAGTCAAAGCAGCCTTTTTGAGGCTAAAAATTAAATTGGATCTTCTCCGTCCGTGAAACACGGTGTTGTGACCTGGACAGGTGCGGCTGCAGTAGGTGCTCACCTGCACTGGTGGTAGAGCAGCAGAATGAACTCTGAGCTGCTTCATCCTGCAGCAGAACAAGAGGCTCATTGCATTTCACTGATTTCAGCCTCTTCTGTCCTCCTGCACGACTCCGAAATCAAACTTAAGTTTAAGGTTCGCAAAGGACGTCTCAGTTCCTGAGCTGCAGGTAGAGGAGGTGTGTACTCTATGAAGTACCTTCAGCACCTGTGACATAAAAGAGGCGACACAACTGGATTAAACAAACCATGTTGACAACAGGACTGACAACTGTGTGTATAGACTATACAGCTGAAACCAGAAGTTTACATGCACTGTATAAAAAGACTCATAACCGTTTTTTGTTTCTTTTTTTGCTACTGTCTGACATCAATCAGACTAAACCTTTCCTGTTTTAGGTCAGTTGGGATTATCATAATTATTCTATTTACTAAATGCCAGAACAATTAGAGAGAGAATTTTTTTTATTCCTTTCTTTAAGGTCAGAAGTTTCCATACACCAAACTTACTATGCTTTTAAACTATTTGGTAAAGCCCAGATGATGATGTCATGGCTTTGGGAGCTTTTGATTGGTTAATTGACACCATTTGAGTTGATTGTAGGCACACCTCAAACACACTGCTTGGGAAAATCTAAAGAAATCAGCCAAGATGTCAGGAAGAGAATTGTGGACCTCCACTAGTCTGGTTCATCCTTGGGTATAATTTCCAGATTCCTGAAGGTTCCACGTTCGTCTGTTCAAACAATTCCACACAAGTATAACCACCATGGGAATGTCCAGCCATCATAGCGCTCAGGAAGGAGACGGGTTCTGTGTCCCAGAGATGAAGTGTTCTGGTTGAAATGTGCGAATCAACCCCAGAACAAAAGCTAAAGACCTGAGAAGATGCTGCTGAAGCTGGTCAGAGAGTCACTATCATCAGTGAAACCAGTCCTGTACCGACATGGGCTGAAAGGATGCTCAGACAGGAAGAAGACATTATTCCAAAAGCAACATAAAAGTTTGCAACAGTTTGTAAATGCATACAGGGACAAAGACCTTCATTTCTGGAGACATGTGGTCTGATGAAACTAAAACTGAACTGTTTGGTCATGATGACCATCGTTACATTTGGAGGAAAAAGGATGAAGCTTGAAGCCTGAGAACACCATCCCAACTGTGAAGTACGGGGGTGGCAGCATCATGATGTGGGTGTTTTGCTGCAGGAGGGACTGATGCACTTCACAGAATAGATGGTATCATGAGGAAAGAACATTATGTGGAAATATTGAAGCAACATCTCAAGACATTAACCAGGAAGTTAAAGCTTGGGCACAAATAGGTCTTCCAAATGGACAATGACCCTAAACACACCACCAGATTAGTTACAAAGAGGCTTCAGGTCAAAAAGTCAGTGTTCTGGAGTGACCATCACAAAGCCCTGATCTCAATCCTGTAGAAGATTTGAGGGCAGAGCTGTAAAGGCGTGTGGAGGCAACGGCAATGCTACCAAATACTAAGGAAATGTATGTGAACTTCTGACTTTGAAGAAAGTAATAAAAAAAATCTCAATAAATTTATTTCTCTCATTATTCTGGCGTTTAGCAAATAGAAATAATTTTCGTAATCCTAACTGACCTAAAACAGGACAAGTTCAGTCTGATTTAATGTCAGACAGTGAGAGAAAAAAAAAGGTCACATGTCTTTTTATACAGTGTATGTAAACTTCTGGTTTCAGCTGTAAATCACGCCATCAGAATACATGTATCTCTGTATTTGTGTAGTACTACTGTGGGTGACACTTTTATACTTTACTCCGTGTGTCAAATAAGAAATAAAAATCTGTGACATCTGTACATTCTAGTCACATCTGAACACTGCAAACTTCCTGATTGGCCGAGTCAGTCACCTGATCTACACCTGAGCGTCAGCAACGTTCGCTGATGTTTTAGATTTATATTTAAAGTGTTCAAGAAAAATAAGACTGAATGAAGTTTTACACAGACACACACAGTAACGCACACAGTAGCACTCAGACACACACAATTGCAAAACGTTTGGAGGTTTTACAGTTACAAGTTTCTTGGCATCTGAATTGCAACGCGATCCTCACAAAATACACACACTGGATGTCTGCGTATGTGTGTGTTGCTTTGCGTGTCCGTGTGTTTTTGTCGTACCGATTTCAGACAGAAACTGAAGTCGACTGTCGGCGAGTTTGCGTTTCAGGACGACTCAATCAGACACACACACAGCAAAATTCAACACCAACATTTGGGACCAACAAACCTCTAGAGGAGACAAATTTATCAGAGTGACACAAACATAGACCGACGCAGCCAACACAAGAAGTCTGCCCATATAAATAATGTCTTCGCAAATACAGATATTAATAAAGAAAAAATAT